CCCATGTCGATAATAACATAGATAAATTGCAAAAAATCATTAAAAAAAACTGAAAAACAATGATACAAATAATATTTCTGCTTAGCTCACCAAATAATAATAATAATAATAAAATTACAGGTGCATTGGCACTTTCAGTATTGCTTCCACCAGCTCCTTATCTTCAAGAAAATTTGGAATTATTTAAAATACTTTTGGATCAGCCAACCTTGGCATGTCTCTATCTCCTCATATTTAGACAGACTACTTAACAAGTGCCAAGCATGTTACATTACACATGAAACAAATATAAAGGAGAAGCTAATAGATCTAAATTTTCTTTAGCAAATATTAACGAATGACTTAGAGTCTTTATATTCATATACTTTTGTCTTCATCATTCCATTTTTATTTATTTCTTGAAAAATTCTCTGTTATTTTCACATTTTCAATTTAAGAACCACAATAAAACGTTGGGATTCATATATATGCCAATTATGTATAGAGATAGTATTTACTAAGAGTCTAAGGCTGGCTTAAGAATTGTTTACTTCCACAGTGTGTATCTGTCCATGATTTAAAATATATTTAGTATTTTCAAATATTAATACTTAAATTAAATATTTTATTTTTTTATTTTTGATATTAGTTGCATAATGAAAGTAATCATCTCTTATCCTTTATCTCACCCCATCTGCATGTCATGCGACTCAAACTCAGAATCTGTTACTTTTAGTAGAATGAGAAAACTACTGAATTAGTTAGATTATTGATTATTTTATTTTAAATAGATTACAAAAACATTTCCAAATTAGAAGGATCAAATAGAGCCTAAAGAGTTGTAAAATAGAGTTAGGACGCACTTATATATACATAAAATTTTATTTATTTATTTATTTATTTTTTTAATATTAGGTAGTATAATAAAAAATAATTTTTTTATCTTAATTTACTTCATACACATGCTATATCATATAAATATAGGTTAAATGCTTAATTTGATCTCTCAACTTTAAGAAATGAACATTTTTGGTCCCTCAATAATTTTTTGCACTTTTTTGATCCCTTAACTATACGAAATGCACTCCGTTAGTCTTTCTGTTAATTTGAGCCGTTAAGGTGGCATTTTTTATATATTTTTTGATGATGTGGAGAGCAAAACTTAAAAAAGTGATGACATGCATAAAATTTTTGCCATGTCACATGTTACCTGGCAAAAACGCACCAAATACATCCAATGGGTCCCACATCACCACTAACAATTGCTCCTTTGGCCATCGGTTACTATTTCTATTCTTTCCCGTGTTTTTTCCATTTTCAAGATTTTTCGATGTTTTTTCCATTTTCAAGATTGAAGTTCGACAGGGTGTTCTTTCCATTTTCAAGATTGAAGTTCGACAGAACCCAGCTCGATTCATTTCTTT